TTGGAAAGATCTACTTTCTAGGAATGGAAACTTAGATTTCATTTTGTTCTTAGAGTTCTATTTAAGAATCCAATGGAATTAACTTTTCATGAAGAATCAGTTGTTATACAGTGCTCAGTGGGCAGAACCAACATGTATAGTAGTACAGGCAGTTTTGGACTTACAACTATAATAGTAAGCAATTCTGTTGCTGAATGAGACGTTTGGTAAGTGAGTTTTGCCCAATTTTAAGACCTTTCTTGCAGGTTCTGACCAGTTCTGGAGAACCGGTAGCGGAAATTTTCAGTAGTTCAGAGAACCAGTAAATACCAGCTCTGACTGGCCTTGCCCCCATCTATTCTCTTTCTCCCGAGTCCCATCTGATCAGGAGGAAATGGGGATTTTGCAATATCCTTCCCCTGGAGTGGGGAGGGAATGGGGATTTTACATTATCCTTCCCCTGCCACGCCCACCAAGCCACACCACGCCCACCAAGCCACGCTCACAGAATCGGTAGTGAAAGTTTGAATCCCACCACTGCTTTCTTGCCACAGTGCCAAGTCAATCACTGCAGTTAAGTTAGTAACATGGTTGCTACTAACGAATGTGGCTTCCCAATTGACTTTGCTTGCCAGAAGGTCTTGCTAAAGTTGATTACTTGTCCTCATAACAGTACAGCTGTCATAAATCTGAGTCAATTGCCAAGTGTCTGAATTTTAATTACATGCAATGGCCATGTGAAAAATGGTCACGTCACTTTTTCAATGCCATTTTAACTTTGAATGGTCACTAAACAAACTGCTGTAAATCGAGGACTACCTGAATAAGATAAGTTCTCTTTATAGCAAATGACCACATCATGGTATACTGCATAGCTACAGTGTTGGCTATCTGTCTATACCCCACCCGTATCTATCTCTGTTCTGTTAACAAAGGTCTTATGAACTGGGCAGAATGCCACGGTAGAAAATAGATCTTTATGTTTTACAGAAATGAACTTAGTCAGCAGAGATGAAGCAGAAATAATTGTTATTTGAGTCACACTTGCAGTCTGAATCTTGCAACTGATCTGAAACTAACTTTGAAGTGGGGCTGCGGATTTCACTCAGAGAAAGGAAACTGATAGTGGTACTGCATTTCAGGAAGACTAAAAAAGTGATCAGGCACCAGAAATAGGCTTCATCAAGGGACCCTCAATTTGGAAAGACAGGTGAAAGAAAGCATGTTGGCGTCTTGGCAGTTCAGTTTCAGGCACTAGAGGAATATTACTTTTATTATTGGAAAGCTAGTTGTTTCGGTGACTAACGCATCATACTAGAAACCAGGAGACTGTTAATTCTCTTCCCTCCTCAGGCACAGAGTCACTTGGGTGACCTTGGGCCAGTCACTCTCTCTCAGCCCTAGGAAGAAGCAAGGGCAAGCTGCTTCTGAAATATTGCCAAAAAACCTGCAGGGACCAATCCAGTCACTAGGACACACACTGGTTCTGAGAGAGCAAAACAACAAAATGTTATTATATCCCACTTTTCTGACAAACTATTGCTCAAGGTGACTAACAATAAATATTGTTTTAGAGGCAAGGTTCTGTAACAGCCTTTCTCAGTTGCATGCAACTAGTACGTATGATACTCATTTGCCAAGTCCCAGTTTGGATGGGAAAATATGGGACATCGGTTTCCAAGGTTGCCATACATGTTGCTATATCAGCAGCTTTTAAATTAATTGCTGGTTTTGATTCTCCCTGCCTCCACAATTTACTTTTATTATAAATTGCCTTGATTATGTGAATAATGTAAAATTATTCACAGGATAATGTTAATGTTGAAAGGCTACTAAGATATATGGCTCTGAGACTAGGCTATTCCCAAGGACTGGACTATTCTAAATTAGCCTCAATATTTCCCTTGAAGTCCTTAATTTAAAAATAAGAGTTACATACTTTTTGTGGAAAATACGTGTTCTGCAAAACAACTGAAAGGTGGTCATGGATTTATTAAGTAACAAAATATAAAACAAATTTTAAAATGAAATTTTAAATTTCACTTGGATTCTTGGGCCAAGGTAGATGTTGCATATAGGTTGTATGGAAGGGTCCACAGATTTATATACTGCATTTTTCAGAGTATAAGACAGACCTTTTCAGCCCCCCAACAGAGGGAGAAAATCTGGGTGTATCTTATACACTGAATACAGCATTTTCTGCCTCTGAAACCCGCCCCCCTTCACAAAAATGGACGTACAGAGGATTTGGGAGGCCTGCAAAGGTCTCCTGGGGCTAGAAAGGGCAAAAACGAGCAAACAAACGGACCACACATGGCCTGTTTTTTGCAGTAAATGGGCCCGTTTTTGTAAAAAACAGGGCATTTTTTGCTCGTTTTGCCCCCTCCCCCCAGCCCCAAGGAGCACTTTGCAGGTGTCTCAAACTCTGCATGCCCTGTTCTTCACAAAAAACGAGGCGTGCAAAGGGTTTGGGAGGCCTGCAGAGTACAAAAACCTTTTTTTAAAAATTTACCTCTTCAAAATCTTGGCGTGTCCTATAGTCTGGTGCATCTTATAGTCCGAAAAATATGGTTTAATTTTAAAAAATTAAATGGTATGTTTTACTGAGATCAGGATTCTGCTGCATAAAAACTCTTCCCAGTATTGTTCTTTGAACATATATTGAAATGCTGTCGAAACTGCCCCAGAAAAAACAAATTTTGCTACACTTTCTTCCCAAAAGTAAGAGGCTAAATTGAGACATAATTCTTCCAAAGAGAAGGGAGATCTTGATCCCATCATACTATCTAGCCTGTTTCTGTATGTACAGTATATTTCAAAGGGAAATACAACAATTGAAATTGATTCAGAAAATTAAAATAAAACCTCTGCTTTTTATTTTTCAGAGACATAAATATCCAAGCTGGGGAAGAAATGTAGTTCAAGAAATGGGAAGGATTGTGGATTGAGGAAGGCTCTTGTAAAGCACATAAAGTGTTCCTGATTTCGTGAAGTTGTTTTGCCATCCTCTGAAACTTTTTTGCATGCCTTGTTAAGCCCCGCTGTCTAAAAATTATAGTTGGCTAAGATATGAAACAAGCCTTTCATCCCAGACCAATTGTCTTTAATTCTCCCCACCTCCATACATTTCTTATAGCTTTCAGAAAAAGATTAAGATTTGGGGGAAGCCACAGCTGATATGGCATGAATCTTTCACTATTGCACAGGTGGTATTCAGCAGGTTCTGACCAGTTCTGGAGAACTGGTAGCAGAAATTTGGAGTAGTTGGGAGGACCGGGAAATACCACCTCTGACTGCCCACACCCCATCTACTCTCTGTCTCCTGAGTCCCAGCTGATTGGGAGGAAATCCTTCCCCTGCCACACCCACCAAGCCACACCCACCAAGCTATGCCACATCCACCAAATCATGCCCACAGAACCAGCAGTAAAAAAAAATGAATCCCACCACTGCACTATTGCCTTCAGTATTCTTAATGGTTCTCCACTTTTGTTATTTTTTTAATCGGCATACTGGCATTTAATTGATATTAGCACTGGTGCCAATATAATATGACTCAGAATCTATTTAGAATGCATTATTTTTATGAAGATACATGATGCTTCTTTTATTCTTCTAATTTAAGGAATAATGTGCATTTGCTGGGTTAAAAATTTTAAAAGTTACCTTTTGGAACTTACTACATTTTGTAATGTGGTCGAACATTACGCGACTTCCTGCTGTCGGAATTAATCTAAGTTTTTAATATTGTAATATGATTTTTTATCTTTCTTTTAGACACTTTCAATCCCTGGGAGCAAACTAATTTCACTTTGAAATTCCTGTTAGAGTTTAAAGTTTGGGGTCCTGCTCTGCCCCATCCCTCAGTGACCCCCCCACAATCAATTGCGCCTCTTTGCAGAAATAAACCCCAAGTCCAGGAGTATTTCACCATTTCTATAACTTCCTTCTCTCACACATTCTCTTGCTTCAGGAAAATGCTGTGTTGGATTGTATATATTACCTATCAGGACATATCCGTGCTATTGATCCCAGCAGTTTAGTATCCTTTCATTAAATCTCAATCCCTCCTCTGGTGCAAATGAATGGTTTGGGAATGGCCTGACTTGTAGAACCGAACAGTGCAAAATAATTGATTTTATGCATGAGGTTATGCTACTCAACTCTTTCTTTTTCCCAATGACAAACGGCTTATTTTGCCTTGCAAGAGATTGAGAACAATCCTATGCAGGGTTTGCTTAATCTGCTGGGTATCTTAATGGACATCAAACACTTTTTTTGCTAAGCAGTCTGCGTGTCAGGACAATTTTCTCTTCCCACCTCCCTGATCCGCAGGAAAACTGCTCCTTTCTCACATCTCTGCAGACGAGGGTGCGGAAGTATTTTTTTTTCTTTTTTAATGTTGCTGCCGATTTCGCAACCAGCATTCAAGCACCAGAGCTCGGCCCGATCCGGCCCGGCTGGCTTTTATATTTGCAACCCTGGTTGCAATAAGATTTTAAGCGATCGATCCTTTTTGCTCGAGCTTCCGCTCTCTCGCAGCCGGAGCTGCCGCTCGCCCCCAGGTGGCTCCGCCGGGAGCCTGGCTGGGCTCAGCCAAACTCAACTTCCTGGCCTGACTTTTTGACAGTGACAGCCTCCCTCCCGGCCGCACCCGACCCAGGGAGCAGCTCTTCCTCTTCTCCAAACGAGCCTCTTCCTCGCCATCTCCAGCATCGAGAAAGGGCAGGAGAGAATCTGCCAGCCAGATCAAAGGCTGCCAGAGTTACAGTAGGGAGGTGGGTGGATGAAATCTCAGTTTAGGACGCCAAATGCACCACGTCCTGCAGGGCTGTCCCGGCTGAGTCGCAGCCAGCGCCGATCCACGTGTCAGGAAGGATCGCCTCCTCTTGCCCCCAACCCCAGCGGGATAACGCCCCCCCTCGCTTCCAATAAGAAGGGAGGCGGCGGCAGCAGCAAGATCAAGATGACGGCTTCCAGGAAGAGAAAGAGGCGGCTTGGGAGAGCAGCGCCTCCCTTACCTGGCTTAGCTGGCTTAGGCGGCGGCTTGGACATCGCTGCGTCCAAGTTGCAAAGCCAACCTCCGCGACCACCGATCCTAGCGCTGAGCCGGCTCGCTCGCCACCTCCAGATCGCCGCAGCCCTTTCTCGGCGGAGGATTTCTGGAGCGGCGCGGCTCCGGAGCGACCGACGAAGCCGGAGGGACCCAGCTGAGCGCTCCGCGAGGGCACGAAAGGTGCTTTTGCAACGACGAGGAAGTGCGGCTCGTCGCAGACTGGTTCCCCCTAGAGGCCAAGGAAACGCACGGCAGGAAGAGCGAAGGGAAGCAGGCAAGGCGGAATCATCCCAGGAGGGGGCGTTCCGCGCGGGAAGGAGGGGCCGACCACAGACCGACGAATCACAACGCGCGCAGCTCCAAATAGGGGAGGGGCGGTTCCTAAGGCTCCCGGAGGCCAATCGGAGCGCAGCGGTGGGACCTCCCTGTCCGCGTTCTTGGTGTGCAAGCAAGGTGAAGCCTCTGCCCTTTTCTGTGGTTACGGCTTCTAATGGGGTGATAGAAGAAGGAGGGGCTTGGAGACGGCCCGCCTCTGTTTGCGGGCCGAATGCAGGCTTCGCTTTGCTTTCTTGTGGGTGTCGTTCACGCGCTTTGCTCCGAAGAGGAAAAGTGTGAGTTGCATTTGTTACGTTGCTTTTGCTTGTAGACACATAGGGACTCTGAACAGAAGCCCTTGTGGAATTCATTTTTCTAACCAAAAACAAAATCTGACCTTGTTCTCTGCAGTGTGTGATTGCGAGCACTTAAGTGTAGCAGACTGGACGTTGTTGGGCAATAATATGTACTTGGCCCCATAATGATGCGCGTGTTTTGAATGAGCATCGTGGTCTTTTCTCGAGTGAGTAACTGGAGTGCTATGCTGTTGGTCTTCCTTAATGGTTTTGTTTCTGGGGCTGCTTTCAAACTAGCACCTCGTGGTAAGAAAAAGATGGAATATGTGGGGGATGGAAAGGAGGGTAACAAAGATTAATTGAGTTTAGAAATCCGAGCGACTACTGTATGGGGTAAAAATCCTATTGACAACAATTTAAATTTCTGTGATGTTAAAGGGTTTTAACATCACCCATAAAAAACCGTTTGTAATTATTCCATTGTATGATTGTTCATGAATTGGATGAATGAATGAGAATACTGGATAGTTATAAGAAGAGTCTGGGAATGAAATAAGGAGAGATAATACACTGTAAATGAGAAGATAAATGGGATAAATCCATCCTCCACCTGTCCCATGTAATTCATTCATGGATCATATGCCATTAAGTCTGGGTTGACTTGGTGACCATATAATCTTTTTCCAGAGTGATCTAACCCCAGCCTGGCACTTCATATTGCTCAATAGGACACCCATTGTCACTGTAATTTCCATTCGCCTTCCTGCTCGTCCCACCTTTCCTAGCGTTGTGGACTTCTTTAGAGGACTAACTCTTCACGTTAATGTGTCCCAAATACAGATAGTCCTCGACTTCCAATCCCAATTGAACTGGAATCTTCTTGTAGTTGGCACAAAGCAGTAATTAAGCTGGATGTCACGTGACTGTTTCCGCTCAATGAGTGCAATTGTGGATTAAGACGGAAAGGAATAGAAGGTAAGATAGATAGAAGGTAAGGGACACTGGGTGGGAAGGCCAGCAATGAAGGTCACAAAAGGTGATCACATGATTCCAGGATATTGCAGCTATCATAAATATGAGTTAGTTGCCAACTGTCTGAATTTTGATTACATGGCTTTGGGGATGCTGCAATGAGGAAAAATAGTCATAAGTCACTTTTTTCAGTGATGTTATAACTTTGAACAGTCACTAAATGAACTGTATTCAGTCATACAAAACAGGAGCTATCCATTACTTCAGTATGTTCTTTGGCAAGTCTGAGGCTGTTTGATGTATTTGTTTGCTATTAATTTAGCCATATTTATGTTTAATCAGATTGGTTTTTTTCACTTGGCTTTTGGACTTTCAGTAATAGAGCTAGTAGATAATTTACATTTTCAGCTTCCAGAGTAGTGCTGTCAGCATGGCACAGTTCTCTTCCTCCAATTTAAAAATCAAGAGCATTTTCTAATCTAGTCTCCTTCAATTAATAAATAATAAAACAAGGAGTCTCCTTTACAGACTTGGAAAAAGTCCATTACACCATGTTCCAACATAATTGTAACTTTCTTTCTTGTTCCATTTAAGTTTATTTGTATTAGGAACTGCAGTCTTATTCAACAACCATAGAGCTTTTATTTACAAATGGTGTAATTTGAATAGGACTGTGTTTTACGGACAGTTTGATATAAACATAAATCTTATTTTTGCTGGTTTTAATGACAATTGGAACAAATATTTTGTTCTGCAAGTGAAAGTGCATCCCTTTTGTCTATGCAACATTGCTCTTTATTGTTTATTTTGGAACTGTGTCCTACTCTTTTGAAATTCTGTTTGCATCCCAAAGGGTTCAAAGTCTTTCACCCTTATGTAACTGATAAATGACTTGGAAGCAATTCAGAAGTGGATTGCTCCTGGTTCGGCCCGGATTGGGCGAACCAGTAGGGACGGAGGGGGGAGGCTTTGCCCACCCACCCAGACGCTTCTGTGCATGCACGCCTGAACCGGTAGTAAAAAAAATTAGCAACCCACCATTGAAGCAATTGTAGCATAATAGTTAATTAGCAGCATATAATCTAGGTATATTCATGGTTATCAGTATTTGTAGTCATAAGTTTAGTGCTATTTTATAAAAGCACTAAAACCTGGGGGGAAAAATCGTGAAGTGTTTGAGTTTAACAAAATAGCCTATTTTATATTCATGTGCTTTAAGGCTAGCCAGTACTTTGATTCCATTCCAAAAAGATGGTATAGCTATAAAAAGGAGGATACCTAGTTTAATACTGTGGAAAGAACCTTGGAACTGTAGATGAACCCAAGCTGCTTCTGCTTCTGCAGTGTAACATAAATATTAAAAAGTCCAATATATTTTATGCCACATCAGTAGAATAGTGTCCAAATGACAGAAAGTAATCATTTAACTTGTTTTGGATTGGTCATATAATATCATTATTTATTAAAATATTAAACCCGTGATTATCACTGATTCTGGGTAATTTAGATAATATAAATGGCCATCCAGGGACATCCAGGTCTCTTGGAGAACCTAATTCAAGAGGGGAGGTGCTATGGCAGAAAAGACATACCTCCTGAGATTAATTGAAGGAACCAAGGGATTGCCCACTTACTGGAACAAACTGGCTGGGGAGATACTGTGGGAGATAAATGGATCCTCAAGTAATCAGGCTCTGTGCCATGTACAGAACACTGTATATTTCTATGTATCACATTTCATGAAGGATTCAGAGCAGTGGTGGGTTTCAAACATTTTTAGAACCTCTTCTGTGGGTGTGGCCTGCTTTGTGGGAGTGGCTTGCCAGCCATGTGACTGGGTGGGTGTGGCAATGTAAAATGTGGTGAAACTCATTTAACAACGCTCTTGCTTAGCAACCAAAATGTTGGCTCAGAAACTCTGGCATT